TTCTGATGTTTCATCATCCCATGAGTGTATGACTTCAGCGGATGCCTCCCTCTCTAACTCAACATCTCTAAAACCATCTACATGATCCTTATTCTTACAGCCAAGATACTTTTTATAGAGGCATTCACCACAGTAACAAGAACGCTGCCTTACAAGGCCCTTTAGTTCCTGAGAAGTGACCACAGAGTGCAACTTCCAGATGCTTCTGACGGTGTTGAAATGGCGGCCTTCTTGATGATGAGGAACAACTTCTCCTTCTGCTGCTGGAACATAATAGAACAGTGTCTTCTTCAGGCTCATTGCGGTGGAATGGTAAGGGAAGGAAGACTGTGCAGGCTTAGAGAAGTTTGGAGTTAGGTGTTCCCAGAGCTGCTTGGCATTGGTGATGTTGGGTTTTCCACGCATGATGAACACAGATGTTTATATATAGCACTTTCTATGTCTGTGAGCGTCTGTTCTTGCGTGCGGACAAGCAGAGTTCTGTTCATTTTGCCGCTGAATGAAGAATTGCAACCGGGGCAAATTGACAAAATTTTGTCACCGAAACTGTGTGTGGTAACATAAACATGATGGGCCATGATGATAATTAGAATCTATTACTATATAGAGAAGCTCACCATATCTAGCATTCAGCACCATATTTGAACACTGGTTTAAAAGCCAGTAGGTAACTATGCCTATTTTCTGGATAGTATCATCTTTGTTTTGTATCTTCACATGCTAATGCTAATGTACTGTCGTGCAGTATTTAAATTTCTGCTACCTGTATGTCGCCTCAGTCTGAAGGTAATATAGAATTATATCGAAATATTAAAAGTACATCAACAATTCCTTGCATTTGTTGCCTGTATTACAGACACAATGCATTTACTCTGTATCACATCTATTCTCTATCTCTTAAAACTATCAATGGATTTTAGAAATGGCTTGGTTTTGCCTTTTGGCATTATCACACTTCAACAATGCCTGTTGGTAATGTTCCTGGAAGAATAAACCTTTTAGCTTGAAATATTCTGCAGGAAAATCATTGTTTGATTCACAGTTCTGATCATTATCTTCATTACTTCCACAAGCATCATCGTGTTGAACATTTAAGGTACCAATGTCTGGTGGTTCAGGTGCACTTTCTACAGGATTTTCAATGCAGAGAAATGATACCAAACATTTCATACTTGGCAATAAATTGCTGCAGTTGCATTCAGCTTTCTTGAGATCAACCGGATGGCAGCAAGCATCAACAGCTTTTGCTTCAAGAATGATGGAAGCCTGAACAACAGCCGCTGACGTATTTCGGCGAAGCACTTCAAAATCAAATATCAAAGCCCAGTTGATTCTTCATTGTTGTGAGCAGGATTAACAAACAACAGAAAACAATTGATTGAAACGAAAAATTAGTTTTCATTAAGCTTATTCCAAAACATAAAAAATGACACGTGCTCATTCAAAAACCTACTCTTTAGTGAGAAAATTGAATCTTATAAAACAACAAGATAATATTCACAGTGATGTTGCTATTAGAATTTATGCGGATTAAGACTGGACTCAGTAATCCATCGAAGAGCTCATCAACTATACCATCCTCAACAAACTTTGGCACAAGTCAAACACATTGCTGGGACATACTCTTGACATAACTACAGTGGATCTCCTTGCAACACAGTGTGGCACTTGAGAAACCTGTCAAATTTACGCTTAATTCTTCTGCTGATATGCAATGGACGTAAATCAGTCTGGTTATTTGAAAAGCAGAGCATTTTGCATCATAACACATGAAGTTGTCCATCTTGGAACGATACACTTGGTCTGTGCTCTCAGAGACTGATGAAGTCACTTCAAATTTTGATAATATAGTTGAAAATGCAAAGGACACTGGGATACTATTTAAACCCCCCCCCCCCCCCTGGGTGGCCACTGTGATGTTACCAAGAAGTACACCTCTGTGCAGCTATGGAATCAGGCGTCTGGCAAATCCTTGGGTAACCTGTACAACACAAGTACAAAATGACATTGTCAGAGCTGTTGATTGGCCATCAGCATGCATGGGCCTATAGGCTTATGCCTGATTAGGCACATGTAGCTTCCCTGGAAAATCAAGCCCTTAGTTCCGGGGACATATCCTCTGTAGGGTCTATCCATGCTACTTCCTGTGCTTGCTGAGGAAAGGGCTTGCAGTGTTGTCTGTAGCAGAGGACGTTCTCAAATTCCTCTGGCCTGTGGTTGTCTCAGGGAAAATTCCCTGAGGCAACAAAGGCTATCAAACAGAAACATCCCGAAATTGAAGTCTAGAAGCTGTTCTGGAGATAAGGCCAGGCCCACAGGGAACTATATAGGTCATGGCTGCTGATCATCTTCATCTTCCTCTGTGGTTTCACCATCTTTGACTGTCTTGTCTAGGGTTGTCAATAAGTTTTGAAGTAGGTAAAGATATTGTGAAAGTAGACAGCACTGGGGGCTGGAGGCCCCCGCGTAGGAGAGGGGTCTGGGGGCAGGCCCCCAGCGGGGCACAGGGGCAGAGCCCGGTTGGGGATGCAGCATGCGAAGCCCCCGGAAGGAAAATGAATTTGACTTTTTCACATTGCCAAAAATTACCTTTCCTCAGAGAAATTTTAACAAGTCTCACTTCCTGAAAAGAACATTAAGCTATTAAGGCGGGGGTATACCTGAAAAAATGCAACTTTTTTGAACTCTTATACCAGTCAGGATATAATTCCAAACCACAGACAACTATATATCATTGGAAAGCTATTTAATCAAAGATTATAAAATTTGCTGTTTTAGTGACACCCCTTGCATGTATCACGTGACACGGGCTGGTCAAACTGCCGCCTGCTGTGCATGACTGATGTGTAGTTGAGCAAAGATATCTCATTCTGGGCTACAGAAAACTGTGTGTTTTTCATATTATCTTACAGAATACATACTGTTAGTGGTAATAAGCGATGGGATTTGCTCAGTTGTAAATTTGCACAAAAAAGCAATAGTATCAAGTTACAAGATCAAAATTAGGTAAAATTTGAATTTTTGATGCTCAACAATTTCTTTACTTTAACTCCTACCACAAAATCCATCGCTTATTACCATCAACACACTAAGAAGTATTTACCTTGAAAATTTCAGCTCAATATCTCAAATCCATCTTGAGATATCTTTGCTCAAAG